TCCTTCCAAGAAACGATTGGGTGTGTGGTTTAGTAAATAATGGCTAGCAACTTTAGAAGCGGCTTGCATTGTGAATTAAGTTTTATATTTATTGCTGGTTTCATGAATAGCATTACATCAGTTTTTATACCCGAACGCCCTTGTGCACAACGGTATATTAATTTTGTTCACATAACGGTTGTTTGTAACAGCCAAAACGAATCGAGATAGATAGAGACAAATGTATACATAAATGCTCAGAATGAATAGAGAAATCGATTAAGCCATGTCTGTCTGTCCGTCCGTCTGTCCGTCTGTCCGTCCGTCCGTGTACACGATAACTGGAGCAAAAATTGAGATATCTGAACGAAATTTGGTATTTAGGTTTCCGTTAATCCAAGGTAGGTTGGTATTGAAAATGGGCGAAATCGGACTGTAACCACGCCCACTTCCCATATAACGGTAATTTCCAGAAATACGAAAACTGCGATATTTTAGTAACTACTGAAGATAAGTCACTCAAAATTGATATTTACAATAACTTTAAGACGAAAAATAAGAATATTATAAACTTTTGGAAAATGGGCGTAGCCACGCCCACTTATGGTTACATGTGTATATCTTGGTAACCGCTGCACCAATGTCTTCCAAACTTGGCACAGTTATTGACCTTGATACAGTATACCAAATTTCAAAAATCGGACAATAACCACGCTCTCATCCCATATAACGATAATTTTCGGAAATACGAAAACTTGCTTGGTTTCTTTATATTAATATGGGAACCGTCAATAGCCCCTATTACCCCTGGGAACCGGAATTCACGATAAAATCTGTGGAAGGTAATAAATGCTATAACTATGCTGCTTTCCATACTATGTACAAACTTACATCTCCTTTACTGCTTGTATGTCTTCGGCTGAAGTTGGAAATTTCACGTACTTGGCCAATAAATGCTTGTCTATTATATTGGCAACTTCCCTCACACATCTGCTAACGCTGCTTTGGGAGATATTTAGCAAAAAGTCTTGCCCGACTGACCGCTGGTAACTTCCTGAAAAGATTACACATTTTCGTGAAATTGATTTGTTTAAAAATATGCAAAGCTATATTCACCTTGAGCGAAAAATCGCAAAGTTGCAAGGAATCGCAACATTTTGGGAATTCCATTTGCTGCCATTTCTCGCATATGGGACGGATCTCCTCAAAGATACTGTTACACATTTCTTTAGGGAGCCTGAAAAGCTCCACAAACCT